GCTTCTTGTGCACCTCCAGCCTTCTCAGTTGGTAGAGCGTGAAAAACTAAAAAGCCCTTGACTAGTGTAAGCATCACCTAGCAACAACTAAAACATCGGTGCGTTATCAACTTTGTTCTCATCCTAAATCCAAAACACAGCGCTGTACCAGCTACTAGAAAGGAAATTAACTCTATCCCTGCCGAAACCAGGACAAGGACTATTAAAAAACATGGATAAAACTTTGCATATTTACAGCTCAGTCTTATGACTGGCAGCTGGAGCAGCCTTATGTTCAACGTGAGGCAACTAACAGTGAGTGGCAACTTTATTGTAGTAGTGAATGAAACAGTTCCTAAGTACAGAATATGCAGAACCTTCTTTTTGATCAAAACTGTAAGTAAAGTCAGTGGGTGTTTAATCTAAATAAGAAATAGATACAAAAGTCTTGTGTGTTTCAGGATTTACCTTGTAATTTGCAAATTCTTTGAGGTTCTGATTCGTATCTGCATTATTTCTTCAGTGTTACAAGCATTTAGGCACACAGCAACGTGGCTTTTTAGCAATGCAGATATTGGAAGAGACCACCCAGGCAATTAAGCATGCATCCTATGTCCTGTACAACCCTTTTCACATCTTCCAGACATATTCTTGCACTGCGTAAACTGCAGTAAGTTTAAGATGGTGCCCTGCATCCCAGGCAGTTAGCATGTACTCTTTCTTCATGTTACTGTAGTTGCTGTAATGAGTTGAGCTTACTCAGCACGTGTCAATACAGAGTCTCCTGCAGGGAAACTACATAGATTCATCAATCATTTTGGAAAACTCACCACCTGTACGTGCATGGCTGATTACATAAAATTATATTTTTAGTAACCATTGGTATATTTCATAGGTAAAGTTTTGGTCTTTCATCCCTCGTTCCTTTCAACTAGGTGTTATCTTAGAACACCAGTGCAAAATTTGCTCACTTTTGCTTTCGTGGTGAGGAAGGTCAATGGGGAGGAACAGAGAAGGAGATGTTTAGTGGAATAAAAGCCCTGGCTGTGTGGTGCTGGTAGTGAGCTGGAGCGCACTCTGGAAGGAGCTCCTCACAGCCCTCCTGGCCAGTCATCTGGAGCTGATCAGTTCTCCTGGCTCTGTCGTTTATATTTGCTGCAGTTACATTTGTAATGTCTGAATTGATCTAAAGTATGCAATTTATACAAAGAAGGGCTGTGCCAATAAAAGCCATGTCAAAATCCATTTATGGATAATTTTACAGGATCAAGAAGCAGATTTTGAGAGATGGGATTTGACTTTCCTAGACTGTACTATCAGTAATTGGAATATTGTGGCTGACAGCAGGCCTTCTCGTCATATTTTTAAGGCATTTATTTCTTTAAACAGATTCACTTTTGATTTAATTAGTCACTTAGAAGATCCTGATCTTCTTTAGGCTAGGAGTTTGACACAGAAAGGTCAGTTGCTGGAACATTTCTTTTTGCTTTGCATTATTTTTTCTATGAAGTATTTCTATTTCAGATGCCCAAAATGGTCACGACGTTTCAAGACAGACTGGTCTGCATGCAGGAAACAGGACTATGCATTTGGGCTCCACGGAAATCTAACAAAAGCTGTTCTGTGCTCCAGAAGCCAGCACGCCTTCCCGTAAATGTATAGGACCTAAAGCTTGAGAACCATTAAATCATTTAACCTGACCTCTCAAAATCAGCCGTCAGTAAATTTCTCCCAGATGCCTCTTCCAGACTCCCACCATTTCAATCTGATTACAGCCTGCCAACGTGAGAAAGCCCAGACTATGGCCACAGCAGACTGTGGGAACGGATGGAAGTGCCACCGTCCTGAGGATCTCACAGTGGAAATAAACTGATCCAGGTCAGGAACGCGCAGGTCAAACCGTGCCGCTAGCTGCCAATGAAGGAGACAAAAAGTTCAGATGAACCTGATTTCCATCTGATTTCCGCCCCATGATTACGTGCCTGTGACTCCCACGTGAATTTTGTCTCATCACCAGGGCGGTCTTAAAAACTGCCCTTGCTGTGACATTTCAGATGTTTGGTGGTAAGGGTTGAGCTCAAACCACAGTCTTCCCCTTAGTGCGGCATTGCTAAGGTTTCTTTCCTCTTTTCCACTCCTGATCTTTGTGAAGCCTGCAGGAACTTAATTGCCTTTGAGCCTGCAGCTGATCTGTCA